AAACAAGCCAATTCACTTCGTGAACTCGGCAACCAGGTTACCGTTTTCTTTTTTTTACCTCGTTTATTTTTTTGGCGGTAACCAGAATGGTGGTCGAGTAGATCATGTTGTGCGGGGTGGAGAACCCTCGCTCCGCGCAAGGGGGATGATCGCACCACGTTGTGTTAAAATGGTCAAGCACCCTCGAGGCAGTTACACGGTGCTTACAACTGTCTCTCGAAGTNAACCCGGCGTGCTCCGTCCCGGCTTTGTAGGGATGCGAGGTCAATGGTCTAACGACTATGGCTTGCACGAGTATGAGTACACCCCCCCCTCCCCGCCTGAATACTCTTGGAATGTAGGCTTGTGGGTGTTGACGATTGTCCCGTATCGCCTTCTCGAAGAAGGTGTTCTCGATTATCGTCGAAAAGGTATGTCCTAATTTATTCTTGAGTTGGTGCGTGCTATCTCTGCAGTGTGTCGCGCGCGGGTAGAAAGTGCGAATGCCGCAATGACCACTGATGTACATCAGCAGAGCATCCGATTGTCCAATCTTATGTGCTGCGTGTGAGCCTGCACGTGTCCTGTACAGCCGCAGCACGGCGTAGCAACTTGTTGTGCCGCTGGGCTCTGCGTTACTTGCGGCGGTACACATCCTTTCACGCACGCAAGTCGGAGATACTTGCGACAACTATGATAAACGGCCCATATCTTTCCAAGTACACAAGTCTGAGCTACTTCCAACATGATTTGTTTCTGGAGATCTAGACTTACGCATATTCTGGGTATGAAACATAGAACATCCACAACCCCGCATGCCCTTATTCAGAGTATGACAAACCGCACGGAATTTTTCCGACGGCATGACATAGCGACATTGTCAAGCCGACTATCTACAGTAGTGCTGAAGCTACGATAGTGTCAACATGCCCCCTCAATGAAGCAATATCCATATTCAACGAACAAAGCAGGTGCTGAATACCTATGCTGCTGATGCTGCGATTTTTACATCTACGACGCTGATCCTGCGAACATTCGTGCAGAAACACATGCATGACCTGTGGAGTGAAGAAAATTCTCCATGGATACGTACTAAATAGTTGTATCCGTGACAGAAAAATTGTCAACACCGCTCTGGGTACGTAATTTCTGATGCCATGCAAAGTCCTACCTAGTGCATATAGCTCCAATGCTGTCATCGGTCACCTAATTGCCCAAATGATGTTTGAATCATCTGCTGCCGCTGCGGAACGAGGTTGCTTCTACTGCGTAACAATATTTTTGTGTAAGTACCACGTGTTTCAAGACTTCATGTGCAAGCTTACTAGTATTGGAGATGTACGCCTTATCGACTCAGCACTCGAGGACGAAGTATTGACGTCACTCATCCAATTCGGCCAAGTGCCGAGTCCTCCCCATGGTCGAATGACGTTTGGCTACTCGGTCTTCCCACAGAATGCGATGTTGACGGCAGATCGAACGTACCCCCTCAACCGGTTGTTGTTGGTGGACGTGGTGAACCCTCTGAATAGTTGCTCTTCTCCAACCCTTGGTCCTCCTCGTTGTTGGTTTACTCCCCGGTTGTGCGGAGGAGGGGTAAACGCTCAAGAATGTCCCAGCGGTACGCTTCACCAGCACCGTTGGCATCTACATCTTCGTCCTCGTCTTGATTGGATAGGAGCTTGTCTTGTCCAGCTTCCGGTACTTTGCCGTTGCCGGTGTCTCAATGAACGGTACATTCCGTTTTTCCGATTTCGGCGGTTGTGTGGATTGTAGACTCGACTTGCTGTCTTTGCTGCACCCCAGCACGATGCCTACCCAAGCCCTCTGTTGTAGCTTGTTGCCGTGTCTCTCTTTGTGCACGAAGGTCGCAGCCCCAATGGCCCTCAAGCCTGAAAGATCTGGTTCTTTCCCGAATAGCTTGGAGTACGGCGAGCTTCCGCCAAGTGCACGATGAAAGAGCGATTTCTTAGGACGACCGACGTTTCGCATATTTCTCCCCAGAGAAACTTCGAAAGTCCAGGATCGATGAGATGCACCGTGTCATGTTCATCATGGTCCTTCCGTCACATTCTGATACCCCATTCTGCTGAGGAGATTTGTCGATGCAAATTCCATCTTTATTCCGGTTTTCTTGCAGTAGTTCCTCTGGTACTCAGCCACGTATTCTCCACCTTTGTCGCAACGTAGTCGCTGCACCTAACCGATAAGTACATGCTCTACTCTCTGAAGAAGTGTGTTGACGGAACTGTTTCACACGGACGATTTTCTTTCAAGTTTCAGCCTGTTTTCCCTCATTTCGTTGATTTTGGGGTCTTCTGTGTCTTACGGCACACAGGTACGTGGAGTTCAACCCGGTGTCCGACAACGTGGTGATGACGACAAACTCGGACCACAGCGTGCAGCTCTGCGACGTTGCCGCGGGGGGCGACACAGCGGCCTCCACTATCGACGTACATCCCAACACGATCAACAGGTGATATCACACTCCTTTCCGGAGACCACTCACAGGGTCCCGTTTTTGATGCGGTGCCCGTTCTGTACTTTTTCATGTCCAACTGGTCAGTAGGTAATACGCGGAAAGCGTGGTATCCTGCTGTGTTGGCCTGAATGCCGGCGCAGACCCGTGCGAATGGCCTTGTCTCCGATGCAATGCGTCCCATACGCCCCCGCCCCCGCGCGACAAGTATGCAGCATATAGCAGCGGGTTTTTTCGACGGCCCTGTTGGAAATCGAAATGTTTTTTACACAGCTCCTGCCGGTAGCGTTTAACGGGCGGAATACGACAACACCACCCCCCTTGAGCTAATCGTTCATGACGGGCTTTTCGTTCCTGGATGCCTCCGTTCAACAGCGCCTGCTTCAACGGCGACGGGAGCTTGATCGCCACAACTTGCAGAGATGGCAAGATCAGAGTCCTCGACCCCAGAGCGGGATCAGTAGTGGCCGAGGGGCAGGGGCATCAAGGCCGCAAGACGATGAAGGCGGCGTGGTGCTTCGGGGGGGGTAGACGAGAGGTGCTTGCCTCCACTGGGTGTGCTGCGGCGGGGCATCGGCAGCTCTGTTTGTGGGATCCGGTGAGAAGTTCTAGCATGCACAACCTTATATACCATCGTGTTTTGGAACAAACCCAGGTGCAGTTAAGGTGTGTCCCGAGTTATTCAAGCACATAACGCATCGCGTGATACCGAAAATAGGAAACATATTGCGGATGGCCCATCGAAAACGATTCGCAGCAACGCGCGTCGAATATGGCCGACTACGGAGTAGACTCTTTTTAGTTCGCATTGGGAAGTGGGACGATGTGACTTGCTGCTTCTTGACGTGTCAGACTATGCTCTCGAGTCCGTCGTGAGTCCAACCACCCTGCCTGCGTTAACCGGTTGCGTTCGCACACGTCTTATCCTTGTCCCCTCGCCCCCCCGCACGTTCGGTACGTTGGCTGCTCAGCGCAATCTGTCTTCGCCATATAGCACCAAGACGGTGGACAGCTCGAACGGGCTTCTGCTGCCCATGTTCTGTGAGGCGACAGGCTTGCTGCTCTTGGCGGGAAGGTGTGTGGGTGTATGCTGAAACTGCGGTGGAAGCTGACCAACACAGAGGCATAAAGCCAGCCCCCCCACCCCCTTCCTCTCCCGCTCGAACGGCCCACCTGTTTCTTCTTATTTTTGAAGCGTTTTTGTCCCTCTCACCGTTAACAATGAAAACGAGCAGGGGTGGGAGTGGTATCAAGTACTACGAGCTGAGCGACAGCGGCGGTACGTTGGCACCGTCAGCACAGTTCTGCCACGAGTACAAGGCCGAGGGAGACCCGTTGAGCGGCCTCGCGCTCCTCCCGCCCCAGTGCTTGGACGTCGCGAACGTTGAGGTTGCGCGCTTGTTGAGACTGACGTCCACCTCCGTCGAGCCGGTGTCCTTGATGCTGCCGAGATCGGCAGAAATGAAGGGCTTCTTCCAGGACGGCATTTACCGGTATGGATAGAGAAGAGGATGCCAAAAGCAAATGATGCGTTGTCGGAACGCTCTTGGTATGAGACAGTTCCACCGCCGCCATTTTCGGCATTGGGTGTGTTGCTACGGTTTTGGTTATCAACAGCCATGGTTTTGCAGGCCGAGGCTTGTGCTGATCTCTTCTCTGTCACCACCCGCCAGCCAGGTCGAGAATTTCCTCATGTGTCTTCGTTTTCTCTCTCGTGTTTTTCTCAGCTTGGAAAAGCGGCATGCACTGCTGTCTTTCACGTCGGTATGTTTGCCCCGCTGTTTTTTTTTTCTGGATGTTGGGGGCAGCAGCCTATAGTGACCAGGTTCATGTGAAAGCAACGCTGAACGTTCCACTCGCTCGCTTTTCTCGGCGTGATATTTTTGGCGTGACAGCTCGGTGCGCTCGTCAACCCCTTGTCTAACGTCGGCGGAGTGGTTAAGCGGCGGAACCCCCTCAGTTTCTGAAGGCGGAGGTCTACGCTCACTTCGCCCAGAAGGTATGCCGCGCGCCGACCCTGGGCATCTGTTCAGCTTGGGTGATGAAAAAAAATTGCCCGGTGGATGTCGAAGCCAAAGTTGTCGGATGGGTGGTTCATGGCAACAAGGAATACAGCGCTTGTTTCTTGGTGCATTCCAAGGACGTGGTTTGGTCGAATTTTTAATTTTCCTGCATTGCATCATGCAGCGCGTGTTAATGCCCTCCTCTCTTTGGCTTGTCGCGGAACCCGTGATTGTGCAGTCGATGCCTTATGCGCGGCCATTCAACGTGGCTCATTGAAGTCGCGAAATGGACAAGTAGTTGTGTAGTCGCCCTGGAATGCGTCCGCACAACATTTGCTGATTTGTGTGCTTGCCGCTGTCACAGGCATGCAACCGCTGTCGGAACGGCCTTTACCTTCCGATGTGGCGGTGCCCAAGGCCGTCATTTTCAGGCAACAGATGGAACAGAGAGAACAGGTACAACAGGCATTGCTTTTGCTTGGTCCAGAGAGCGAAAGAGAAAAACCCGCGCCTGTAACAAAAATGTTTGTCTGTGGTGAGCCTTGTCAAGCCCTACTGGCAGTAATGCGTAGAAATGAGATGCGTCGAAACACAGAAGCCGGTAATAGTCTAGGCCAGTAGGATCTCTTACCCCGAGCATGCGCTTTGGAGACAAGAGCTAAAGAATGCAATAAACAGCGATGGTACCTGCAAAATTTGCAGCCCACACCTCCGCAGTCTCCCTTGTCAGGACGACACTATTGCAACCTTTTCGCATACAGCGATCCGTGTACCCGGTCTAGGTTGATCCTCGATATTCCCTTTATGAAAGTACAACTAGTAACAAAATTGTGGTCGCAGGGTTGTCATTCAAGTGCGATACACGTTGTGCGACAGCTGAGCTTGGGCTCGACTGAAGAGATTTGTCGAGCTGCTCCGCAATTTTGGCCCAACTGATGTCCCCCCACCTCCCCGCCGCCGTCGTCCTTGACCTTGTTCAGGAAGAGAAGCACGCGGCAGATACCATGGCAAAGATGACAACCCTCGCAAACCAGAACGCCGAGTACAACCCGAACCTCAGCGTGGCCATGGGCGTGGATCAAGCCACCATCCTTGATTCGGGCTCTGAAGGGGAATGGTCGGACTGACCTTTATGGGCTCTAGAACCAGACATATCTCGAAGTTAGACAAACGGGTGAATCACTTGTCGCTCCGTTTTCGTATAATGTCCTCACCAGCCGTTGACTTTTGGAAAACATAGCTATGCCTGTCAGCGGGCTCAACGGGGAAGGGCGTCGGGCAAGGTGGATCCCACCGTGCGAAATTTTGAGAACGGCCAGTACCCATGGGTACAGCTAAATCCCGTCCATCATTAACTGCTTGGAGGGGGCCATCGCATAGTACGATTGCTGGTTTCTCTCCTACTTCGTACGACCATGGCATTGCAGTGTTTGGTACTACGAATCGTTGCGCACCTACTGCACCGTCCGTGGACGTGATTGATTGCACTTAACCGCCTCCAACGAATCACTCGGAGCGAAACACCGATGTCCCTCCGAGCACGACCATGACATTGCACAATGCTAGCACACACGCAACATCCACGCACAAACCTCGGTCATTAACAAAGATTCTCGATGACCCCCCGTACAAACCTACGTTCTCGCCCGATCATTGCATGGCACAATGCTGGCACTGGCACACACGCAACAGGCACAACATTGTTGACTTCCACGCACTAACCTTGGCCATCGACAAAGAATCTCGCCGTTACGCCAATAAAGTAGTAGGCAACAGGCACAGGGCAGCCAGCGAAGAAACGTCCATTTTCGAATCTCTCTCAAGTTTGGCACCAAAAACTCCCTAAACTAAAAACCGCATGACGTGCCCTACTATTTAAACTGTATTCTCGCCAAATCGCACTCAGATTCTGCTGGTGGCAATCATCACAGTGGCAGACCAACAAAGGAACCACTCGCATATTGGCCTTTTGAGTAGATGCTGCCTTTCCACGCTTTTCACATCGTGGGACGGCGCAATGCTATTCAGTCCCCGCCTCTCCCACCCACTTCGCTTTCACCCATGTAATACCCCTTGAGACCACAGCACAGAGCCGTACAAGCCCGGACTGGTCAGAGGGCGGATCAGCCCACCAAAAAGGCAAATCCCCACGACGTAGCAACACCATAGACCTGCTCCAAGGTCAAGGAATGAACCGAACAGTTTGGCATACAGCGCTTCAGGGTCGAGGCAAATTCGACTTGACTTTGGTCGACAGCGGACACTCGAAAAAAGAAGCGAGGGGTAGTTGGAAGGGGGGGACAGCACCGGGGCTTGCTGCACGCGGCCATGAAAGGGAGCGAGCGTCGAAAGCTTTTGTGTGCTCATGTTTGTCCCGTCCGCGCTATGCACACATGGTGCGGAAACAGTTGGAAGCACGCTGCACGGAGCATACTATCCGTTGGTGCCACTCGCAAGATCAACAGCAGTAGTAGCAGGGTGCCCCCCCGTGTTTTTTTGACTTCAAGGCAGCTTCGTATCAGCAAACTTCGCGTCCTCTCACGTTTTCGGTGCTTGTACAACACGGATGTGCGAGTAGACTCTCCAGGGTTTCCGGGCGCAATGCTGAACGTGATGTCTGGCACGCCCATGAAGTTGCACAACATGTGCACCAAAATCGACGACACGAGGTGTCCTGGAGTCCGGATACACGGAAGTGAACGAAACAAGTGAGTCAGTTGGTGAGGTCATCCGCGCCACTTCGATAGAACAGTTGCATTAAAAGGGCGGCGGTGATGACCACCACACGATTCTCCAGGGTGACCGTATTGAAGTGCACATGACACGGCTTTCGCTACAACCTGCCCGGGCTTGGCATACATGTTTAACAACAAAGCTACAGAGGGATCCACAGCCAATAATTCTTGCAACAGTAGTAGTTGGTCCTGTTGTGGCTGCGCCATTGACGTATCCGCTGATGCGGCGATGGAAGTGCGAGCGTGACTTGTTAGAACATGGATAACATTCAATTCTGACGTTCGCGCGATCTTCACACCAAACAATTACGTTACTTGTATAACAAGAACATGGGGTGTGGTGTTCCATCGTACATCGTCTTGTTTGCTGCCTCTTCAGTGTACAACATTCCATTCCTGTCTGGAACAGCGGCCTCGATTGCAGCGGAGATCATACACTGCTCTCGACAAGCGCAACTCGCTAAACACGCCTACAACTATTGCCTGCGGCATTCCACGACCAAGAGATCCCGCCACCTCACACCTGTACATTGACTGAAGCATCATACCGCCGCGATAGCTGCAGGTGTCGCAATCTTGCGCTACACTAGACCAGCCTCCATCGAATCCACGGCAGTCAAAAAGCACCATAGGCGAATCCGGAAGCGACAAGGCGTGTACCGTTTGACGGACCCCCGCGACCCACCTGTTCGAAGTTGCACGAACGCGGCGAACGCCCCAAAAACAGATGTGTACGCTATCTGAAACAGCATACCGACCGCCACGGCTCGAGCGGAGTTCCCTTGCCGCAGCCACTCCAGCGCGTGGTGGAGATGGGCTGAGTAGTCGGGATCGCAGACATAGGTGTTGCACCGGGGAAGGCGTGGGTTGGGATCGACCAAAACTCTTGTCGCGTCAAGTTGGTCGATGACAAGAACCGTCCGCCGGAGCACGATGAAATGCTCAAGTCCCCGTACATACGCACCGCTTGTTGATTGTGTCTTATAGCATCACCCAAGGCATGTGCCACTTGTTTGCTTACGGTTGTAGGACGCACTACATGAACCGTTCAATCCTGCCGAAATAGTTAGCTCAGACAATGCCTTCCGTGGAGCTGTTGCCGGACATGTGCCCTGCCTAGGTGAGCGTTTCAAGCCGGGATTTGTTGGACCTAAAAACTTGCAACCAATGGCAATACCGAATGTTATGAACGTATACTGCTGAAGTGTCTTCTACGTTCGCCAGTGACATACATGCCTCAACCGACATCAACAGCGTCTTCAGCAAGTCGACTAAGGCATCGAGAACACAGCTCGACTCACCGAATCCGAACAACAGCGGGCTGAGCCACACAATTTTCATTCGCGAAACTCCGGCGCCGAGAAGCACAGGCACAGAGCAACCGCGAAACACAACTTCCTCCGCAATAGGTCCCACCTGTCCAGGTGGGAAGTGCGGGAGAAAAGCAGGAGCGGGGGGGTCGTTCATGTTGGGCGAGTACATACAGCAGTTGTACGAAGCTGCTGTGTGTCCTGAGGGTGTAAACTTATCGACTTGAGTAGCTCCAGAGAGACGTTGGCCATCTAATCGATGGCCTGCCTGCCAACCGATGGAAGTACCGTACAAAAGCTAACAGGTTCGAGGGTTGCACATGAAGGAGGGCCTTGGTGTAGACTAGACTAAGCCCATGCACTCGACCACGCGTGGCGGCATGTCATGACCTACGCTCACAACCGTCGTCGTGGTATGCGTGTGTGCCATAAGCTTTGTAGCTTGCGTGCCACACGTCGAGCTAATTTGCCAGTGCGAACGATCCGGAGAGGCGAGGGTCGGCGTGGTATTATCACAGCAGCGATGTCGCGAGGAACGTATGCTGCAATCGAAAGGGTTGCAGGAGGGGGCGCGGTAACAACCACGAGGAGGCTAACCACTAAATTCCGTATCGCGCCGTATGTCCCCGCTCCCAGGTTCGCTTTGTTTACTAGCTCTGCCCTGGCGACCGCGTGCCATGGCAGAGGACGCACGCGGGGTCGAGAAAGTCCGTACGGCGATACCTGAAAGAAACAGAGCACACAACAGCCGGAGAGGTAGCGAGCATCCTGAAACTCCTTCTCACCGCGTCGGCGAACTTATCGAATGAAGAGTCCATGGAAGGGACGTATCTAATTTCCAGGTAACCATATCTGCTTGAAGGTACACTGCTGTACATACTTTACACGATGAAAAGCTTCAAAGCAAGGGGAGCCCCGTCGGAGGTGGCTGAGACACCCGAGGCTCGTTCTCAACATCTTGCATCAGCTACAGAGCGATTCTACACCTTTCGTTCCTGCGAGAACGTCATGCTGATGTCGTCCCCTTCCAAGAACGGGCACAATATTGTTGTCACAGCAGTCTTGTCCACTGGGCATAAACGTTGCGCAATGGAATTCGACAAAAACGCTGCACGATCGAATTGACGGCGCCGGAGCACCGCACCCGTCACAAGCGTGAGTACTTCGCCTACCTCATTCCGCGCCAGCCTGTGGGACATCCATGCGAGTGTCACTAGCGGACCGAGGAAGAGGCAGCACGTCAGCAACACCGGCAACACCAGTGCGACACCCAAATGGTTCGTGCCGAGACCAATCCACCGTCGAACAGGGAGCCCGTTCTTCGCCTATACCCGTCATGGATGTTTCGGACGGTTGAGGTGGAAGGAAGGAAGAAAGGCCTCAGGAGACAGGGGGGAAAGCGCGAGTGTCGCAAAGTGACGGAAAAGACTGGCGGGCGGTGTCCAGGCCCAAAGACGATGCGGCAGTTCATTCCAACCCAGGGTATCGCATCTGTTGCCTAGACTACTGCTTTGTACACAGAACGACGGAACTACAGTATCTCTCTTAACGCTCTTCAGTCATACTCGGTGAGGGTTGCGCATCTTCCCTCACGGACACGAAAAAGCTTCGAAACAAACACATGAATTGGGCTCTCAGTGTACATTAGTGTTCAGAGGGGCATGTAGTCGTAGACATCATCGTCAAGTCGGATGCGCATATAATGTTCCTGCCTGCCTCGAAGAAAAACGAAATTTAACTCAACATTCGAAGGAAACAGTCTACTCGTTTTCATTCAAGTTCTGCACAACCTTCATGCCTGTTCCTTGAAGGACTCAACAGCTCGACATGGCGATCTACCTACAGCAGTAGTCCACGGGAGCAAGGGCTTACCGGCCGAGCCATGAGATAAGTAGCCAGCACCGTGGCGCAGGATGTGCAAAAGACAGCCGCAAGCCTTGCTTTTATCTGTTTCCAAGTGAGAACGACCATTGGTTCATGGTTGCAACAAGACAACAGCAGCAGGGCACGACATTGGGTAGGACGTATGCATAGGACCTGAATCAGGATTTGTATCTGCGGTGGAAGAAAGAGGGGTAATGTGCATGCCCGCCCCGTAGATGCAAGATTTTCAAAGCTCGATTACTCCACGACGAAGCGGACGTATTGTGTGAACCAACGATACGTTTCCGGAAAGCTCTCGAAGAGACGATTACAACGCCGCAATTTCACTACTGGCACCCATTGTGGTGGAATACTACATGTACTGTAGTCGAGATGCGAAAGTCGGTCCAGGGGGTGTGATATTTTACGTCAAAGCGGCAGACGACGTGCTGACGGGAAGAACCAGTACCAATTTTCGCTGTGGGAATTTTGATGGCGTGATAAATCAAAGCCTCCGGCCTCCTAATTGCTGTCATGCTCTTGAACCTTTCCAATCTAATTCAAGTTGACTCTCCAAAGGTGTGCCCTTTACGACCTGGCAGCCCGAGGTACACATGGTGTATCCGGTGGGCCAAGTGGGCTGGCGCCCCGTTTCTTATGATCCAAAAAAGCAGGCACAGGATCAGGTACCCGTCAGGCACGCCGTCGGGTTGCTACATCCGATGTCTCATTCTACCGCGGGCGAACCAACGTACTCTCGTGACATACTATAAGCCTTCGGAACTGCAGTGGTTTGCGCACAAAGACCACCGACGGACCGCAGCGACAGATACCAGGAAGTCTACATTTCTAATCTAGATCACCTGAGATGGATGACTCCTTGGCAACCTCCGCAGCTTGGAAGGAACAAGGTATAGACTCACGACAAAGATGATGCTGCCTAGCCAACACCATGCCCATGCTTCCCATTCAGACCTGTTTCGATAGTCATATCCACTCATCATATCGTCGGATGATCAGTGCAGGGCGTGCGGTGAAGCGGAACAATAGTTGTCAGGTTGTCACGTTGGTTGGAGTCATCGCAGATGCTACTATTTACCGGCGGCACGGGGTGTTTCGCTCTCAATCATGTGAA